TCAAATCCCTAAATTTTTACAACTTAGGGTTTCATGCCTATATGTCTGTCTGCAGGTATCGTTTATATATTCAGCAAACCTCTTGAGCTGCATTGCATACACTTGTCTACTTACAAGAATCCCACCATTCCAACCAACTAAACTTGTCTGAGATAACATAAAACTAAGTGAGGTATTTATAACTGTCTCAAAATCTGAACATGATGAGAGCAAGCCAAAAGAAACAGTGAGGTAATGATAACCGTCTCGGCGGTTTGGATTCTTCCCTAATTTACAAAACCTTATTTTTCTTCCTTTCACACCTTATTTATACCTACCTTTTCATTCATTCATTTCAGTTACTTACCTTTATTGCACTCTTTTCTTTTCCCTAAGCAACCATGGCACCTGATTTAGATATAGAATATGCCTACAAAACCAGGCCTCCAAGTCTTCTGAACTCAATCTTCATGTACACTGTGAACATGGCTGCTAAGACTCTTGCTTCAGTGGCACACACCTCCCAAGCTCAAGACACTGATGAGAAGTGGAAGACAAGTGATCATTTGAAGTTCATGGTTATGCTCTTGACTTGGGTTACTGTGTGGGTTCTTAGGGTTTTGATGGACCATTTCCCTTTTATCACCTATTCCCCTTCTTACAATAATAATCATTATCTCCAAGGATTCTCTTCACCTCTAGGATCCTTTGACTCTTTATTACCATCATCTTTATGGCCATCTTCATCATCCTTGTCCTTATGGCCATCTTCTGGTTCTTCCCTTGATTTAATTCTCTATGAAGGAATCGATGGACCTTCCGTTAAAGCCCTTGGCAGATCACTAACCCATGTAAGTTCGATCTCTAGTTTCCCAATAATTTTCTCTGGTTGGTTGATATTAATGTGAACAACTGATGAACATTATAAGAAAGTAATGTTTAATTACAAATTCTATAAATTCGTTTAACAATGCCCCTGTCCACGTTAATTAATTTTATTCCATTTTTCGATAAGATTTCGGAAGCTTAGCTATGTTATGGTTGAGATACGAAGTTTCTTTTACTTTATTGATGACCATTTTTATATGAAGTTAAGTCAATCTTTAGTGTTGTTGTGAAGTTATGAGTTCAGTATTTAATGTTAATATTTTCGTCAAAGTAGGCACCATTTGAATGGCATTGTTTCTTTACATAACAGCACATTGAATTAAAGTAATATGTTATCCATATAGAGAGGAAAATATGCCACGTATCTATGCTTTCAACAGTTGCCAAACATTTGGTTTTGCATGCACAATCTAACAAAAACCTCCTGTAAAGCTTTCGTTTCGGTATTCACCTTAACAATCGAGTACCACTGATCTACAGCACATGTTCTTTTTTCACATCTTTTCTTAATGCTTGTTTTCAGTGTATATATATATATATATATATATCCAAAATGGCCGCAAATTCCATTGTCAATATCCAGATCACAACCTTTAGCCCCACTAAGATCGACACGTTTCCAACATGCAAGTTTTTTCATTCCCGGTTTCCGCCACGTCAAAAATTATCAACTATTTCTTTTTCCTCATATTTCTTGTAGTAACAATAATACACACAAATATTAGAATTAATTTATATGAATGGGACTGAAAGTTACAACAATTTGTTAACTTTATATACACGATCTTCATTGTTAATCTATCTCATGTACAGAATTATTAACTTTTAGATTACATTAAAGATATCTATGTACATAAATGGATGATTAATGCAAAAGATTCTTTAATCTTGACTCAAAATGATGTAAAACCAATTACATTTGATATATTGAAATTATATTGGATCGATACCCAAGTTACAGATTTCTGTTTATTTTTATATTTTCATGTTGACATGAAATCTCTTCTTTAATGTGTTATTACGGTTTGTATATTATCATATTTCGTTATGTGCTATAAAGTTAACTTATATTATCAGCAGATGTATACATGATTTCTATGGTGCATGCAGGTTTTGGCGCTCCTAAATGAGATCCCGGCCACTTCAAGTAAATACCAATTCGCAATGACAATGGCTGACACAATAATGGAAGGCAATGCCCGTCACGACCATTCTGAACTCCTCCAAGTCAACCAAACCGCTCTATCTTCCGCATTCGCTCGTACTTCAACCCTTTTATATCGCTCCCTTCAAATCAGTAACCAATCCCAGGATGACTCAGGGGGCTGGCCCATTCGCACCATCAAGGCACTACCCTTTGGTTCTTACGTTGCGCCATACGTTAAGGGACTGAGTTTCTGCTTCAACACAGTAATGTCTTGGGTTGACACAGGAGTGTCCCGGTTGCAGAAGAAGAAGGAAGAAGGAGCAGACGAGTATGGTGAAGTGATGGCAGAGAAATTGGCGCAGGAATTGTTGTGGATAACAAACAAACTTAGGGCTTATGGAGCTGTTGATCAGGCTTTGGTGCAGTGGAGCCATGCATCCGCTCTTGCTTCTCTTTCACTCACTGCTTCTCCCAGAGTTCAGGGCCTCATTGTTAAGATTTCAGGTTATAATTTCTCTTTCTCCATTCAACGATGAACAAATATATATAGCGTTGGAATAGGTCACAAGAGCATCACAAAATATCTATTATGATGTGAAATACAGAGCCGTTAATCCCTCATTGTAATTTTCCAATGGTGTGATAAGTTGTTTAAGATAAAAGTATTTTTCTTCAAATTAGTATTACAGCAAATATAAAAAGAAAAAGAAAAATTAATGGGGTTATTGTTACATAGGTATACTATTCGGAGATCTGAATCGGCAGGATTACTGGATGGTTACGAGGGAAGTGAAGTTCAAGTTACTGGTGCTATGGATTCCCTTGTTTTGCCACGCAAATAATGGTGTTGCTTACCCTATATTGTCAAGCTTTGAAAAGGTTGAAATACAAAGAGAAATGAATGAGGCTATTTCCAGCTTGCCTGCAATTGATCAAGAAGTGATCCTCACAAACTGGGTACAAGACTTCGCAGTTTCCGCCTCGGATTGGCCAAATCTTCAACTATCTTACGACCGCTGGTGCCAATCTGCTCGCCAGCTCGTTACATGAATTTACAATCCAACACATTTCTGTTTTATAAATAAATAATGCATCTGCATTTACGTGCATGCCTTGTGTAGTTTTCTTATAATTGTTAGAATATTAATATAAGTAAATTAAATCTTTCTATTTTTCTTTATCTTTTAAATAATATATCTGGTATGATATGAATTGATGGAAGTTCATCTTGAGTGAGTTTGTCTCTGATTCAATTAAAAAACAGGCAATAAAAATTAACAGGTTATAAGATTGGACTACATTTATAGTGATACTTGGTCTCTGAATAATCAAACTATATCAAAGAATTATATTAACAATTAAATTAAAAAATGACAAAAAAAATCTAGATATAATATAATGGTAATATCTGATTCTGAGCCTATACATTTTATAATGTGGTGGCATGGACTTAATTCTTTGTTATTTGGACAGATGGTGGGTGTCTTTTCTTCATCAATTTGGATACCCCAATCTTCAAACATTACCATTTTTTATATAATTTTTTATAATTAGAGAAATTAAAAAAAAAATAAAGTAGCTTTTTCGTTTTATAAAATTTTTGAAATTTTATAAAAAAAAAAAAGTAACTAAATTTAACATAATTAATAAATCACGTGAATCTAAAAGCATTCATTCAATGGCACTTAAAAATCAAATAATTAAAAAGATTTCATGAAATCATGGATTAATTGAGATTTTATGAAGATATAGATTTTATCAAGAGTAAAAATCATTCAGTTTTGAAATTTATTAAATTTAATTAGGGTTAATTTATTAAATATCATATGAACAAACAATAAATTATAAAAAAAAAAAATACATATTCAAGTTTATAATGTTCTTTTTAGTTTATTTATTTCAAGTTACCTGGTTTGTTTTGATTATAGATTCAATCACACCAAGGTGTTACAACAATTATCAATTAGTGATGGCAGACCTGGTAAAACGTCTGCCCTTACCCGGATAACTTAAGCGGATTCGGGTTAATAGATTTAAGACTCATGGGAACAGTACCCGTAGTCGACCCACTCGTTATTTTTGCAGGTGGGCCGGGTGATACCTGTGGATACCCACACAAAATTAAAAAAAATTATTTCCCTCATGCACAAGTCATCAACCTTAAATACACGCTGACGCATGTAGTTGAGAAGATTGAAAACTTCTTTACCTTATCTCTTTTGTTGTAAGTCCAACTGAGTTCCTCGAAAGTGATTCTCTTTTCTCTCTCCTTTTACAACTTATTTAAGGTTCAGTGTCATCTTCTTTAACCATCCACAGTTCTTATACAAATGGTCAAGAGTCTTCTTTACTGTTAATAAACATTCAGAAAAAAGAAAAAAATTATATATATCTTCGACTTTGATCAAGTAGTCAATCTAGTTTTGTCCTGTCTTTGTTAAACGCCTTATTTTTCGGTTTCATGCAAGCAACTTTTATCTTTCTCTATGCGCGGGTATTCAATCTTTTCCACATTTTACTGTGTTTCTCTTGTCTTTTCCATCTTTAACTTTCTTATTCAGACTATGTCTTGAGCGGTGCAACTACTAAAAGTCTCTTAAGATCTTTGACTTCACGGTTTTTCCATTATTTTCTCTATTTCTTTTCTGAAATTCTCATTTGGTTTTGCTTTGTTCTGTTCACGCGGTTTACTTCTAATCTGGATTAATCTCTTTCTTTCGAATAAAATTTGTTATTTTTTTCTTGGTAAAGTTTTCTAATGCGATGATTGAGGCCATAAATACAAATTATGTGCCGCGGTTTGATCTCCACTGATATCATATGATTTTGAAGAAGATTTTAAATCAAATTTGAAGGCCAAGAAATATTAGATTCGAGAAAAGCAATGATACTGTTGGGAAGAATCTTAAGAAGCAGTGGTACATTTGAGAAAAAAGGGTGGCCCGAGGGTCCACCTGTACCTTGCAGGGCCGGGTAAGGGTATAAAGCTTCATTGCCCGTTTGGATTTTCACCTGTTTGACCCATACCCATTTGGACCCGGCCCGTAACCGCTCAGTCCGCCCATCTACCAGTTCTAGTTCATGGGAATATATATTGGTTTCCACACAAAACCAGGGATAGATTTTTTACTTTACAACTAGAGTGTGCAAATCACAGTGTTTTTTACAGGGATTTAGTACGATAGCAGTCAAGAGATTGTCATTATAGTGATTAATAGACATTATTTCACTAATGGATACAATTATCAGCTTGTAGATTAGTGAATATCAACAATCTGGACCAAAAAACTCTGTAAATTGTTCTTTGCCCTTTATGTGAATCTGATAGAAAAAAAATGTGTACAACTACTGGTTTTTTTTAGTATTAGTGTTAAAATTTATAATTGCAATTTAGCTTTTGAGTCTTGAAAAGGTCCAAGATGACTTGCTTACATTATCAATTTATGATTGACCCATAGGGTTCCAAGTTATAAGCATGGTAACTTCATGGGTCCAACCATATTGTCTGACGTTAGAGTTAACATGGAAAATTACAAGGTATTTCATATCATGTTTTGAAAATAAACCTTGGCTAAGATATGATTTATAATGTAAGAAGAGGGTTTAGTTCTGCATCCTATGATGCATTTCATTTCATATTTTTCATTGGTTGTGTAGGAGGAAATTTTTGGTCCAATTCTTTCTTTGTTTGCCACTTATGTCTTTCTTTATCCTTGTGTCCATGTTGGTCTTTGGTTATTATGGAATCTTAAGTCAAATATTTTTGTTTGTCAGGTTGACAGCATTGATGAACTTCGGCTGCTAACCACAGTCACTTGGTGTTGAATAATCTCTTCCGTCACTTCATAGAAATATTAAATTTACTTCCACTCTGGAATTTATGTGACAAAAAAGAGATCTAGATTCATAACTTATTGCTAATATAATATAAAATCTCTTTTGGTTTGTAAAGTTTGACCTAATAACCTTTCAGAACCTATATAAGCATGAGTCTGCAAGGCTCCTTTCAAGTCAAAAAGGCTCTGCACGTTAGTTCCTTGACCTTTCTATCTATTTGTTGTGGTTAGTTTCATGTTCTTTCTCTATCATTAGTCCTCAACTATGTTATTTTAGTACATTTCCAAAAACATTACATAACTGCTAGTTAGATGGTTGGTTTTTGAATTTCAAAGCTTTGAAGTTAATAAGATTTGTAGCTAAATTTTATGTAAAAAGGAAAATAAATGTTGTTTGCTTGACTAAATATTCATTCACTGCCTTATTTTTATGATGATGACTTGGTTTTTCTTGCATTGCAGTTGCCACTGAATTAGTAGTCCTAATTTTCCATGGATCCTTCAACCGGAGAGGTTGAAACAAAAGTTGCTTGGGCTACTGACAAAGTTGTCCTAGCTTTTCCAAAACAATTTAGATAACTTATTTTCCATTATATAGTCTCTTTTAGGTTTCATGTATTGTAACATATATTGTAATGATATAATTTGAAGATAAGATTTCAAAATATATAATATTGATATATCTTTTAAACTTGCATGGTGTCATTTTTTAGAATTGCATGATTGTGAAGTTGGACATTTAAACATGTTCTTTTCCTCTTTGTTTTGCATTAAATATTTAGGGTGCTTTTGTTTTCATATTTTCTTGAATTTACAATATATGTGTTATCATCCTTGAGAAAATACATGAGAATTGAAGATGTCTTTTGTATTAATGTAACCGCGGGTTGCGAAAATGCAAGAGTACTTTTTTGTTAAAACATAATCGGGAATGGCAAATGGTATGCATGATGTTTTTTGTTGTTAGAATTTTATGAATGATTGAAAAGTATTAACTATTTTTCCTTGTTAATTTTCTAATCATCTAAGTATTAGATTTTATGGATATAAAAGATGTTGGGTGACTATTTATTAGTGCATCATTGTTATGATCAGCTAACATATATGCAAGTAAATCGTATGATATGGATGTTGCCCTAGTTAGTAAATTCGTGTTTTATATGCGAATTATACGTTCAATCACATAATTCATGAATTTCCGTATGTTATCGGTGTAACTGAATAATTAGCGAATTATCAGTATTTTTGAAGAAAAATGTTAATAAATGCTGCTTCGTACTTCTTCTGGGTAGTGTAATTGTTGTCATATCAATCACTTCAATGGTCTTTATGTGTTCAGCTTACAGACGAGTTATTTTCTCCCGCCTCTTTTATTTCCATAAATTAATTAATAAAATGCTCCTTCATGCACCAATCTCATTCATACACTTGGAAATAATATCCAATTTAAAAAGCCAATGGTGTTAACGTGTTGGCGGGATGATGGGATGGAATCAACACATTATCACTGTCAATTTGACCATTCATCCACGTGTCCCAACTCTATTCCCCGTTTCATTTTTAGCCATCAGAAAATTAAACAAATTAACAAGAATACAGAGGCTCAAGCCGCTCAACCATAATTTAATCACAATTTTAAGTCCATATATTTTTTTACCATTTTAATTATTTTTTCTTTTCAAAAGAATATTTGAGAAAGTAACACCCACCCCTGACTAGAGGCATTGTCATGATTTAATTCTTTATAAAAAATTAAACCATGGATTTTTTTGTTAATATGCTAATAAAAGGGTCCCTTAATTGCCATATTTTTTAAAATGCATTATTGACAATGTACCGTATTAAACACTTATATACCCGTATCATATTTTTTTCGTATCCAAATTTTTACAAATGTATTTTTTACTATTTGTCGTATCATACCTGTAAAATTCTCATACCTTTTTTTTACCGTACCCGTGTTTACTAACTAGGGATGTTGCATGTCTTGTTTTTTAGTAATGGTTTAGTACATTTTTAAATAATGAAAAGAAGTATGTGCTTTAGTTGCCTTGTTATCACGAATTTATATAAGCTACTTTATATGCGGTTTACTTGCATATGATTACTGTAATCATGGAAGAAATGATGTGAACATTCCTACATAAGGATTTATTTCTACTTGTGTCATAGCTAAGGATTTATTTCTACTTGTGTCATAGCTTGAAATGCAAA